CTCAGAATGACTGTGGGCAACACAGCAAGGGTGACAGTGTTTGGAAGCAGAGGCTCAGCCTCTCAGGAGGCCCCTGAGGTCCCACCCCGGCCCTCGGGGCCCTGCTCCTGCTCAGCGTCCGAGGCCTGTCAAAGCCTCTGGGCTGCTGGCTGGCTGTCTCCCTGTCCCCCCCCCCTCCTCCTCGGCTGCAGGCCGTGCCACCTCCAACTCCTTTTTAAAAAAATGTATTTATTTTTGTTAATCCTCACCCGAGGATATTTTTCCATTGGTTTTTAGAGAGAGTGGAAGAGAGAGAGAGACAGAGAGAAACATCAATGTGAGAGGAACACACCCTGCACGAGCCCTGACCAGGGCCCAGGCCAGGGGAGGAGCCTGCAACCAAGATACATGCCCTTGACTGGAATCAGACCCGAGACCTTTTGGTCTGCAGCCTGACGCTCTCTCCACTGAGCCACACTGGCTAGGGCCATGCTCCAACTTCTCCAAGGCACCCTGCCCTCCAGGGAGGCTCTACCTGGCCCCTGCTTCCCTCTCCCAGACTCTCCCTCCCTCCCCGTCTCCTCCCCCCACCACATCTCCTCTCCCACTCCACCCCTCCCTCTCTTCCCATCTCCTCCCCCCACCACATCTCCTCTCCCACTCCACCCCTCCCTCTCCTCCCATCTCCTCCCCCCACCACATCTCCTCTCCCACTCCACCCCTCCCTCTCCCCTCACTTTGCAAGACACAATCTCCTCCCCCACATCTCCTCTCCCACTCCATCCCTCCCTCTCCCCTCACTTTGCAAGACACAGCTCTGCACCAGGTTCACAGGGACGGGGCCAGCGCCCAGGAGTCTGCCTGGCCCTGTGCACCCGCTGACACTCTGGTTGGGACCCGGCCTTGGTTCCAGGAGGACATCTGGCCGTTCAGCTAACCAGGCGGTTGGGTGGGCAGCCACCTGACCACAGCCTCCCCAAGGCCTCCAGCCCTCAGCCCCCTGCAGGAGGCCGAGAGGCGAGGGCTGCTCCGGGTGAGGGGTAAGCCCCTGCCCTGGGACTTCCCATCCCACCCGAGTGGCCACAGCAAAGAACCAGACTCACCGGCTCAGCTGCAGGGAGTGGGCACACGCCCCTCTCGGTGAGCAGCTCCCTGGCCAGGACACTCCTGCTCCCTCCTCCCTCTGCCCGCAGCCGCCCAGTGAGCTCATCTGCCCAGGGCTCCCCACCCCCTGGCCTGAAAGGATGTTGGACAGAAAACAGAAGAGGAGAGAGGGGTGGAGGAGGGACCTGCACTCCTGCCTATGCTCAGCGCCCTCAGAAGGCGGGGAGAGGTGGGGAGGGCTGAGGAGGAGGAACTTCTCTTTGAGCCCACTAGCAGCTGGGAGGGCGGCCGGAGCAGTGGGCAGGGTGGCCAGGGCCAGTCCCTGCCGGGCGGGTTGGTGCAGGCT